ATACTTGGGCGGACCCGGGCGGCGCCAATACCGTCGCTCGTGGTCCCTATCACCAGAATAAGCGCGTCGGCTCTCGTCGACATACCTGTGCCCACACAACACATTCAAATTAGTGGTTAATTAGTATAAATTACGCGTAAATTATATGTTCAATGCGGGTTTGATTGAGTTATATTCAAGGTAAGTGTGGTAGGTAAGGTTAAATACCCGGGTATAAATAACTTTAAATGTGTTAAATATAAATTACTATAAATAAATAAAACTTGTCACCCTTAAAATATCTACTGGTTCATAATACTTTCATTATTTACTCTAATTAAAAATCAGTAGCATGATAAATTTTGCAAAATTAAGAAATAATTTAAATTTAGTTTAAAGTTAATTTAAATTACACAATTATTTTACTTTATATTATATTTATGTAATGTAAAAATATCAGATTATTACTGGTTGTAAGGGTAATTGCAGCTATGTAATTATATTTCAAACAATTACTACACTAATATTGTAGTTCATACATAGAAAGATTTATTTAATTACACGAAATTCCCAATTGTGTATTATATAACACATTGTGAGTCAAAGATTGTACTATAATTTATTTTTTAGTCAGATTTTTGCCTAAAAAATCTAGGCAACTCTCACAAATAATTAATTAATAATATGTTTAACAAAATCAAAGTCATAGAATATTAAAGTAATCAACATAAATGTGTGTGTGAGAGAGAGAGAGAGAGAATATTGTCATAAATAATATCTCATCTTTTTAGACATTTATGTGCATAACAAATACGTGAAAGGATCTCTCTCTCTCTCTCTCTCTCTCTCTCTCTCTCTCGCTCTATCTCTGAATAATAAATAATAAAATTCAATCGATTAAACATTTTAACAGTCAATCCATGTTTTTTTTGTTATCATAATAAAAAATTAATTAATTATTAAAGGGCACAAAAATTCCATAATATCCTACGGAATGACATCCCATTCCGTTGACAGGAGTGACAGATAAACACAAAAACTATTTGATTAGAGTTAAGCCCACTCTTACGCTACTATCATAACAAACACTATCGAGAGGGCGAATGACATTTCTATACTACACATACACCACGCGAAATGATCAAGCTAATTATTATTTCTCGCAGCCAATGGTCTTGATCTGTTCATTATATCTGAGATAAATAATGGTATCTATTATTGGAATTCTTATACTCCAAGAGATGTGTTTACAGAATATTATCCACAATATATACTCCAGAATATTCTCTGGTTTCTATTTGTTGACCTCATTATTATTATATAAACTGTGATTATATAATGTATTGATTATAGTTTTCATATAAGCAAACTAATATTAGATTTATTAGAATATACCTTATGGTGTCGAATTAAAATAAACTATTTTTGGTAGCAAAAATCTAATTTTGAATGAAAATATTAATTTAATATAACATTAATAACTATGTATTGATTTATTATCATAAGTATGTCTGCGTATACTATAGTAAACATCACTTGCACTCAATCATAGCTTACGGCAAATCTTCACATACAGAATGAAAAACATTTCGAGTGTTGTATTAATCTTTTGCTTCACTTTTTCTGCTCATCCCTTCATAATAATAAAGACTTTATGTTAGCATTGGTTTATATGTGTTATATATTTTTTGCCAAATCCTTATTCAAGTATACAAGTTGCGAGAGATTGTAAGGTTTTACTACAAAAAAGCAATTCTTGGATTTATTATTATATTTTTATGACTTATATATTCATTATTATGTTATGTAACCGAATATTATGTCTAGAAAGTAGTGTAAGTCTATGTAAAGTTAGTGTTAAAGTGGTTGAAATGTATGGAAAATTGCATTTTATTCTCATAAATATATAATCATAAATGCAATAATCATATTGATGACCACTATACAGCCTACTATCGCTATGATATACTGTATACGTACACTAGAACAAAATAAACATATTTTTTAATATTAAATAATATATTTTTATATTCAATTCTTCATTACAATAAACAATATTTATATAATGGAAATCTCCATCTCAAAAACATCTAGACGTGTAATATAACATGTGATAATAAGTATGTATACCATAAATTCTCATTATTATTCTACATGGTAAGAAGTGTCTATTTAACATAAGTATAAGTCAAAGTCACACACAAAACACTATTCATGGCATAGATTTGCTATAATTTATTCAAATTCTATACGAATTGATTGTATTGACTGTCTGTCTGTGCGATGACAATACCATTGAGTGAATGTCTGCACACAATAAGAGTAATATTGTATACAAACCATAAGTACATCAAAAACATATTATGTATTATTAATATTGATTTATACATAACAATCGTATTGAGAGAGAGAGAGAGAGAGAGAGAGAGAGAGAGAGCATAGGAATTTATCAGCTTACACATACCTGTACTCCCGTTCCCGTATAGACTCCCTGGGCATGGAATGGGAGGGCGAGAGCGGAGGTGTGGACATAAGACGGCCATAGTTTGAAAAGTAGTCGTAATAATCGAAACTATTATTCAATTCGTGGTTCAGTGTAGTGGTGGTGCGTTTGGTGGGTTTCCGCTGACTACCAGTCCCTCCGCCATAACTATTCATTTTGTTTTGACTGTTGGCTGAAGACGTGTCATTCATATGGAAGAATAGATGTGTTGTCGTGTGCTTTGCCATCCTTTTCCCCGTTTGTCTGCTAAGCTATGGGTAATTCAGATATCCGGCCCCCACCTAAACACCGGTTCCTTGATGTCTGGCTGATGTATACAACTATTTAGTTATTTATTTATATCACTCGTATTGCTATTGTCTGCGAACTAATCATTAGTTTTAATGAACACAGCATTCAATGTCTGTATTCGTGATGTTGTTATCATTTCCACTGTTATTGGATTAGGTTTTGTGATAAATATTTGAAAATTCATTTCCAATTATGTCTGCAATTTATCGGAAGTTTTTTTTTGTTTAAAAATAAATGTTGATATCGTGTTTACAACACCGGTTGTTGGATTTTGCTTTTATTGCACATTTCAAAGTTATAATTGAATTTTCATTTTATAATAGTTTCTTCATTTGATGACATTGTTTCTGTAAAAGTGTACAAAAGTTTTGCGTTAATTAAAATTTTTTACTTTTGATATGCTTATCATTAAGTTATTTATGTATTAATTTGATATAACTTAAAATATATTTATTTTATGACTAATGTATTCAGTACTGTATAAAGTTAAATATAAATACTAAATATTACTACAAATTATTTGAGATAAAAATACAACTATGCAAATATTTTTAACACATAATATAGTTAAACGAATCTACCAAATATAAAATTGGTAAATAAATTACCAAGAATAAATAAGTATTATTTTGAATATACCATATAACATAAAAGTGTGAGAAATAATTTACATACAAAAATTATCCCCACTTTTATACAAAAAAATTATTGATATTACTGTTAAGATTGAATTTAAATATTCAAATAGTATTTCGTTTTTGGAAAATTACTTTTAATGCAAAACACAGAATAAATTATCTTTCACAAAAATCACTTTATATGTGAACCAAGATATTTAATAAATTATTCAAATATTTCTGATATTATTATTTAAAAGTATAATGTTTGTATATTATATGTTGCACTATAAATTATTTGCAGTAAATTAAATAACAATCTAATAAATTGTAACAAATTTTTGGTACACGAGTACTAAAGTATTTTTTGCATTGATTGCCAATAATACTGAATCTATAATGTATACAAATAATATAAAAGTTTTTAAATTGTGTATCCTTTATAACTCCCACAAATTAATTTTTTTTATTGGAATCCAATTACTCATAAATACATTATCGAGTCGATTGTATTTAATATAAATGAAAACTTTAAACAAAAAATCAATTCATTAAAATTTCATTATAATGAAATATAATAAAACGCAATTTTATATATTATTTAAAAAGTGGTATAAATTTTTAATACACTTATCGTCCAATCCGTACGTTTAGTGCTGAATATATTATTGATAGCAAATCACTCATAAATTACAGTTATATTCAATGCTAGATCTGAACACTAATATCAAGTATTAATTCATGGATCAAATGATAGCCCTTTTTCTGGGCCTCTAAATGGTTGAGTCGCTTATCTGATCGACACGTTTAATGATTAGACAATTATCTCGCAAAA